ATATGGGTGTGCATATATCTGCTTGGATGTCAGCTATGGTCTCTTCAGGGTATATTCCCAGTAGTGGAATTGCTGGGTCAAATGGTATCTCTATTTGCGAAATCTAGCTGTTTTCATTTGTAGAAATCATCATTAGCCAAAATTGGTCGTGAAGGTAGTTTCCAAGCCTGTAACAATGGTAAAAGTTGGTCCTATTTCATGACAGCCCCATTTGTCAGCAGAACTGTGCTTTACAGAGTTTGTTTTTGTTTTTTTTCTTGGTATGTGCCGTCAAATCAAATCTGACTGGCACAGGAGGAGATTGCCCCTCCTTCTCCAGTCGAGCATCTGGTGGATTTGAACCATGTGCCTTCAGAATTGCAGAGCAGCTTCTTACCACTAGGCCACTAGAGCTCCCTCTTTTAGGGTTTTGAGAGGCTGACTTTTCAGCATTAGGTTACCTAGTGTCTCTGGGTGCTCTTAAATTGTTTAGCAGCTGAGCCTGTTTTCTCCTTCAAGGACTAAAGAAATGAAATGATCCTTGAGGGCTCACTCATGTTGGAGGAGGGTAGGGATGGAGTAGCCCAAGTGAGGAAGGAGATTGAAACTGCCTCCTTGGGTTTTTTTGCAGTTTTTATGGTTTATTTAGCATGGACAAGATGTTCAAACAAGCTTTCTATTCATTTTCTTTGCGCAGTCTGGCTTTGGGATTAATGACTCTATTGGCCAGCTTGGCTGCCCTTTCCACAGTGGCTCTGTAGTTCTTGGAGGAAACACTGCACAGTCTCAGCACAGTAAGATTTGTTGCACATCAGCAGCTCTTACCTGCCTCCTCTTGCCTCTCACAGGTGAACCCAGACACCGGCTACATCAACTATGACCAGTTAGAAGAGAATGCCCGCCTTTTCCATCCAAAGCTGATTATCGCAGGTAACTCAGTGGACTGAAGGCAGCTTTATTCATTATCAGATAGCTGTGTCTTAGACAAAATCAAGATCCTGCCTGCTCTTTCATAGCTTATGGTCATTTCTGCCCTGGGTAGCAGAGCTTCTTTGTATAAGTAATGTTTCTTGGGGTTTTGTTTTTTTTTTTTTTTTTGGTTATTTTTGTAATGTTTCTTTCAATAGGAAGACTTACACTGTGATGTAAGTCCTTTAGAATTTCAAGTGTGGAGTAGTAACTGATAGGACAAATGTATGTGTGCCCACATCAGCACCAGGGCTGGTAGCACTAGCGGCGGCCTTCTTAGACCCCATGACATTAAAGGGACAGCTTAGCAAGGTTGCCTTTAGTCACCACTGTTCCATCTCTGTTCTCATAGATTTTAGGGGAAGGAGCCCAGGTTTTTAAATCTGCAGATCTAGGGCCCACCTGTACATTTGCTGTACATGGGCCAGGGCCCTCTCAGAGCTAATAATGTACTATCACCTCACAGGTGTCAGCTGCTACTCTAGAAATCTGGACTATACTCGACTAAGGAAGATTGCTGATGATAATGGGGCATACCTTATGGCAGACATGGCACACATCAGTGGGCTGGTGGCAGCGGGGGTAGTCCCATCCCCTTTTGAACACTGCCATGTGGTATCCACTACGACCCATAAGACCTTGCGAGGCTGCCGGGCTGGCATGATCTTCTACAGGAAAGGTTTGTTTGGGGACAGATGGTGGGTAGTTTGCAAAAGAACTCAGGTAGAAACCTGAGCCCCAGATCGTTTGTCATACCTTTTGTGTCTGTTAATACATATCAAGTTGGTTCCAACCCTAGCAGCCCTGTATGCAATAGAACAAAACAGTGCTTTGTCCTGTGCCATTCTCCTAAGACTTACTGGGTTTGAGCTTAATGTTGCAGGCACTGGTCAGTCCATCCCAGAGTCTTCCTCTATTTTACTCACCATGACCCTACCAAACATTATGTCCTTCTCCAAGGACTGGCTGCTCCTGATGCTGCTCCTGTTGTTGTTGTTGTTGTTGCTTGCCTTCAAGACGAGCAGGACTCATAGCTACCCTACGAAGCCCCTCTACAACTATTGGTATTTATCAAAGTTCATAGAGTTTCCAGAGGCATGTTGTTTAGGAGGTGGATGCCACTCCTGCTTCCAAACCTGTCATAGTATGTTTTTGTTGTTATGTGCCATTGAGTCGCCTGTTATTTATAGCGACCATATGTACAGCAACTCTAAACCCTTCCCTGTCCTGAGCCATTCTCACTAATTCTGACACACCAACCCCCATCACCCTAGTGATTGTATCAATCCATCTCATCCATGGTCGCCCTCCCCTGTGCTGTCTGTCCACCCTTCCAAACATGATGTCCTTCTCCAAGGACCGATCTCTCCTGGCCACGTGCCCAAAGTAAGTGAGGTGGAGCTTCAGTATTCTAGCCTCCAAGGAATCCTTGCTTGTTAAATCTGAAGAAGACCTGAAGCACTTGCTGCAAAGGATCAAGGATTGTAGTCTTAAATGTGGATTGAAGTTCAACATCAAGAAGACAAAGATTCTCACCACTGGGCCAATTAGCAGCACCATATTAGATAGAGAAGAGATTGAGGTTGTTAGCAATTACAGCTTGCTTGGATCCACAATCAACATTCTTAACACCAGCAGTCCTCCTGATAGCATAGCTAAAGTATATTAAATTAAGAAGTGCTTTGTCGTTGTTGTTGTTATGTGCCATCAAGTTGCTTGTGACTCATAGCAACCCTATGTATGTTGTTGTTGTAATGTGGCGTCGAGTCATTTGCGACTCATAGCGACCCTATGTACAACAACCCTAAACCCTGCTCTATCCTGTGCCAATCTCATTGCCCCTAACACACCCATCCCAATTACCCCAGTCACTGAATCAATCCACCTCATAGAGGGTCTTCCCCTCCTGTGTTGTCCCTCTACTCTACCCAGCATGATGTCCCTCTCTAAAGACCTGTCTCTCCTTACAACATGTCCAAAGTATGTCAGACGAAGCCCCAGAATCCTTGCCTCCAAGGAGCAGCCTGGTTTAACCTTCTGAATCTGTTTGTTTTCTTGGCAGTCCATGGTACATTCAATACCCTTCTCCAGGACCACAGCTCAAAGGCGTCAATTCTCCTTCTGTCCTCCCTATTTATTGTCCAACTCTCTGATGCATAACAAGTGATTGCAAAAACCATGGCCTGTATCAGGCGCACCTTAGTCTCCAGAGAGACACCGCTGCTCTTGAGTACTTTAGAGAGGTCCCTATTGCAGACTTTCCCATTGCAATACGTTTTTTGATTTCCTGGCTGCTGGTGCCAAGAGGGTTGACCGTGGAGCCGAGCAAACTGAATCTGCATTATGTAGATGACACAACCCTGCTCGCTGAAACTGAGGAGGAACTCATGCACTTGCTGCAGAGGGTCAAGGACTGCAGCCTTCAGTATGGACTGAGGCTCAATATCAAGAAGACAAAAATTCTGACCAATCGATAGCATCAGGATGGATGGTGAAGAGATTGAGATTGTTCACAGCTTCAGTTTTCTCGGCTCTATGGTCAACCCTATGTATAAGAGCTCTAAATGCCATTCTATCCTCTGCTAACCTCACCATCTCAAATGCACTCACTTCCACCACTCTAGTCACAGAATCGATCCATCTCATCGAAGGTCTTCCTCTCCTTTGCCACCCCTCCACTCTGCCAAACATGATGTCCCTCTCCAAGGACCAGTCCCTCCTTGCAACATGCCCAAGTATGTCAGACGAAGCTTCAGAATCCTTGACTCCAAGGAGCATTCTGGCTTCACCTTCTCTAGGACAAACCTGTTTGTTCTCCTAATAGTCAATGGTATATTCCACACTCTTCTCAAGCACCATAGCTCAAAGGCATCAATTCTTCTGTCATCCCTATTCACTGTCGAACTCTCTGGTGCATAGCACGTAATTGTGAAGACTATAGCCCGGATCAGACACACCTTAGTCTCCAGCCTGACATCATTGCTCTTCAGTACTCTTGAGAGGTCCCTAACAGCTGACTTTCCCAATGTAATTAGTCTCTTGATTCAGAACCAAGTAAACTAAAACTGTTAACTATCTCAATCTTTTCACCATCCATACTATGCTGCCAGTTGGCCCAGTGGTGAGAATCTTTTTTTTCTTGATGTTGAGCTTCAATCCATATAGAAGGCTGCAGTCCTTGACCTTCTGCAGCAAGTGCTTCAGGTCCTCCTCAGTTTCAGCAAGCAGGGCTGTGCTTAGAAGGAATATTCTGCCTATACTTCTTCCCTTTTATTTGTTCTTGTGCTATTCCATAATATATTTAGTATTCATCAACACCATAGTTCAAAGGCATAAACTCTCTGGTCTTCCTTAGTCATTGTCTAGTTTTTGCATGCATATGAAGTGACTGAAAATACCTTGACTTGAGTCAAGGGCACCTTGGCTCTTTAATGCTTTAAAAGGGTCCTTGGGGTAGCTTTACCCAGTGCAGTTTGTTGTTTGAGTTCTTACTGGGCATTGATTATGAATCTGTAAGCGGAATTAAATACTTGACAATTTCAATCTTTTCTTTAGCATAATATTGCTTATTGGTATAACTGATGAAAAATTTTAAATTTTATTTTATGTTGAGGTATAATCTACAATGAATACTGATAATTCAGTCTTTGATCATTATCAAGCACTTCAAGTTGCTTTGCAGGCAAGGTTGTATCATCTGTAGATTGCAAATGGTTGATGATGTTGTTAGGTGCCATCAAGTCGACTACAACCCATAGTGACCCTATGAACAACAGATCTGAACCCTGTCCTATCTTGTGCCATCTTCACACTTCCTAACACACTAGAGCCCACTGTGGCAGTCACTATGTCAATCCACCTAGATAAGGGTCTTCCTCTCATTCACTGACCCATCATCTTTCTAAGCATGATGTCACTCTCCAAGGAATAGTCCTTCCTATATCCCAAGGTATGTGAGACGAAACTTCAACATCTTTGTCTCCAAGGAGCATTCTGGTTGCACTTTTTCCAAGACCTATTTGTTTTTTGGCAGTCCATGGGATGTTATGGGATCTTCTCCAATACCACAGCTCAAAGGCATCAGTTCTTCTGTCATCCTTTTCATTGTCCAGCTCTCAGATTCATTGCAAGGCCTGAACCAGATATCCTCAAATTGACAACATTGGTTCTCAATAATTTGGAAAGGTCTCTGACTGCAGACTTTCCCAGTGTAATCTGTCTCCTAATTTCCTGACTGGTACCAAGGGTGTTGATTGTGGATCCAAGTTAGAGGAAATCATGGCATTGACAACTTCAAACTTTTCTCCATGAATCATGATGTTGCCTATTGGTCCAGTGGTAAGAATTTTTGTTTTATTGACATTGAGATGCACAGTAGAGGAACACGGATAGTTGTGTTAGAGGTAGAGCCCAGATAGAAAGTCAGTAAAAATGGGGGAAAATAGTGGCAAAAATCTTTCAGTAATTGCAACATGGACTGTACAAAGCATGAATGTTGGAAACTAGAAGTTGTGAAAAATGAAATGGACTGTATAAACATCAGGCCTTAGTGAGATGAGATGGTCTAACTTTGGTGATTTTGCGTCACATAATCACGTGGCATACTATGCTGGGAATTAAAAACAGAAGAAGAATAGTGTTCCATTCATAGTAAATTTCAAGTTTCTTTCTGAAGTACCATGTTGTGACTGATAGGATATTATCTATATACATACAAGGAAGACTTGTTAATAAGACTGTCATTCAAATATATGATCCTACAGCTAAAGCCAAAGGGGAGGAAATGAAACATGTTTACCAAATCTTACAGTCTGAAATTGACCAGACATGCACTCAAGGTGCATTAATTATACTTGATGACTGGAATGCAAGTTAGGAACAATGAAGAAGGAATACTAGTTGGAAAGTATGGACTTAGTGACGGACATGAGACTGAAGATAGAATGATTGATTTTGTATGTTCAGTGATTCATTCATTGCAAATACCTTTTTTAAAAGACACAAATGGTAACTTTACACATGGACCTCATCTTATGTACTGCATAGGAATCAAATTGACTACATCTGTGGAAGGAATTGTTGGAGAAGCTAAATATAAGCAATCAAAACCAGGCCAGTGGCGGATTATGGGTCAGACCATCAATTACTCATGTGCAAGTTCAAATTGAGGCCAAAGAAAATTAAAGCAAGTCCATGAGAACCATCTGTGGAAAGAATCGCTGGAGAAGCTCATTATCAGCTGTGAAAACTAGGCCAGGAGCTGATTGTAGAACAGATCACCAACTACTCATATGCAAGTTCAAGCTGAAGCTGAGTAAAATTAAACCAAGTCCACGGGAACCAAAATATGACTTTGAGTCTATCCAATCTGAATTTCAGAACCATCTTAGGAACAGATTTGAGGCCTTGAACACTAATGAGCGAAGACTAGATGAGTTGTGGGAGGATATCAAGGGTATCATCCAAGAAGAATGCAATCGTTCATTACAAAGACAGAAGAGGAAGAAAAGACCAAAATGGATGTCAGAAGATACTCTGAAAATTGCACTGGAGCGCAGAGAAGCCAAAGCAGAGGGAAGAATTCAAGATACTAAAGAGTTGAATAGAAGATTTCAGAAGGCAGCATGGGACAACAAAGTAAAATATTACAATGAAATGTGTAAGGAGTTGGAGCCAGAA